AATCCCCATGCTGCCAGCCCCCAAGGACAGAGTGATTCCTCCCAACACCCCCAGCTCCTAACTTGCCAGCCCTGCTGCTGGGACAAGGAGACAGCTGTGCACTCTGTCCTGGCTCTGCAGCTACACCTGTCAGTACTGGGTGAGACTCTAATTGCATCAGATGGAAAAAATAGAGTCCTGATTCCATTATCCCTGGAGAATCTGCTCCATCTAGGAGGAATTGTCAGGTGAATGGCAGAGAAAAGCCCACGGCTACAGCTGTGAATGCCATGCAGATGTGGGAGTGTGAGCATGGCTTCTGTCCTTCCTTGGCCACAGCCCTACTTCTGTCATCCTTCTTCCTTTATTCATCCCAGTCCATACTCACTCGTCCTGACCAAGACATCACCAGCCCTGGGGAGCTGGGGGTAGGAGGCTCAGGGGCTGCAGCGAGGTTGTCCTCACGAGGTGTCTGCACCTCCTGGTCCATGACCATGCGACCACTCACCCAGTGCCAAGTCCTCGTGGCTGCTGTGAAGGTCATTCCATCACAGAGACGTGGAAGCCGACATGCTGGGCACTCTTAGGACTAGGACTCGCAAGTGCCAGGGCCCCACCCAAATGTTGGGCAAGTCAAGTTCCTTCTCACCTGTGTGTGCTCAGCTTCATTTCCTCGGATGCTGCTTTTCCACCTGCCCAGTGGTTGGTGGAATATAAAGGTAGTGTCCTGCAAGCCACAGATATCACCGAGTATGAAGCTGCTGGCTCGCTTCCCTCTTTTCCCCAACAAGTATACAAAAAGGATCATGTTGAAGTCAAGCCAGAGGCAGTTCAGGGGAGAGGCAGGAAAGCAGCCTCTTTCTGGACAGGTAGGTAGGATGGCTTGAGTAGGTGGGCGTTATTAGTCCATTTCTGTTGTTTGTAACAAAATACTTGGAACTGGGAATTTATAAGAAACCAAAATTCATTGCTTACAGTTTATGAGGCTGGGAATCCAAAGTCCAGGGAACACATTTGGTGAGACCCTTGGTGGTGTCAGCAGTGATGGCAGAGTATCACATTGCGAAAATGACAGAGCAGAGAGAGAGACAAACCTCCTCATGCTCTCTCCTTTGAAAGCCCTCCAAACCACGCCCTTGACCACCATTTTTTATCCGTTCA